CATGCTATAAAAGGGCACTATGTGCCTGGAAAACACAAAACTGCCCCTTTAAGACATCAACAGATCATGATACAATATTGGGTGTAAAAAGTTCCTTTCATAGTTATAAAGAACCATCTACACACAAAGTCAGTAAGGCTTCATTTATTGGAACCTATATGTATTTAATGAATCACCAAAAACAGCAGGAAGATGCTGTGAGGTCTCAAGTTTTACAGAAAATCTACCACAGGCACTTTATGCTATTGAGCTCATTACTGTCTAAACTTATTAACAATTAAATAAAAAACGAATCTCAATTCTTTTTGTTTTTGCTGCAATTCAGATGCTAACAAGTAAACATTGTTAATATGAGTATTGCACACACCCATAAATGTACGTATTTTTTTAACAACAGATAAGTTGGTGGCAGAATCATCAGACATTATCGTGACGTTACACAACTTCAGTTTCATTAGATACCTGATAGGAACTGTTCCTTCTCTCACTCTGATTATATTTCTTCCATTCATTACTATATTGCAGCAAGTCATCTATTTTACGACACTAAACCCATTAAAAAACAGAACAAAATAGATTTTCCATCTATATCTAAATACTTACATCGTTATGTATGCAGAAGTGGTTTTACTTTGTTCACAAAATCATATTTTGATAGAACTGACTGCTTTACGTGGCAGACATTTATTGTACGTGAGTCAAGAAGCTTCTGATATAATTTGGACTTGGGGAGCAGATTTCTCGGCACATAACAGTCATCTTGTCTGTCTGATGGGTAGTAACAGCAAACAAATTAAAAGCTCTGTGCAGCTTCCAACACTGGTGACATTTACCCATTGCCCATTCCTCTTATGACTGGAACATTTGCCATGCTACAATCTTCAGGTGTTATTGACCTTTATTTTTCTCTGCTGCTGTGCTGTGTTTGAACCCATGAGAAGTTTGGTCCAAAAGCTGTAGAGTTCACACAAGGGGAGGTCAGAGTACACTTGAGTCCTGTTCAGTCCGCTTTAATCAAACTCTGGTTCGTTTGTCTAGAAAGTCCGGTTTCTTTTTGGAGCTGTGATTGCACAATACAACTCTGATGCGGACCAAAACATGTCACTCTGGTCTGCCTGAAAACCTAGGTCTCGATTGGGTCGGATGTATATAGCTAAAACAAATGCATGAGTCTAACACTAGTGGGATCTTTAACCAAAGACAAAAGAGAAATCTTACAACCACTAAAATCTGACACCATTTTTGTTTCCGTTGAAGAAGGACGTTGTGCTCAGTGTCTTCTTCAGAGGTTTTCATGCAGCTTCCTTCAGAGGTTTTTGGTGCAGCGCCACCATAGGTGAGGGTTGGTTTGGTTCTTGTGAAACCAAACCGCAGCAGTTGAAAATTTAACAAATGTTACATTTATGTCCCAAATTGAACTGAGTCTAAAGTTACCCAAATTAATAAATGTTGTCTGTACACTACAGAATAGTCATACGGACATGGAAAACATTTATGTGCTTAATGTAGACAGTTTTTCTTTCTAATTTCTACAAATGTGTATATTTAGTATAAAATGATGTGTCACTCTCTGAGGACCTTTTTTGTAAATGCATTAAAGTTTAAGGAGTTTCAATATTTCTGCAAGACTTCCACAGGAAGTTAAGTGGCATCGCCTGGTGTTGCTTTGTTATAATGATTAATGACAGTACGGGAACATGACGTTAAAAAAAAAAAAAAAAAAAAAACATATCATGCTGTCGGCAGGGGATACAGACGAGAAGACTGTTTGTGAAGGTTCACAATGTTCTGCGGTCTTATCATTCCTGAACTAATTCCTTCTTGTTCATCCTCGGACTCCTAAGCGACAGAGTCGGGTTTCTAACGGCCTGCGGTCCGATCTGGGACTGTGATGACAGCGGACAATCCCATAATAGAGTTCAGCTCTTATTATCAACATGCTGTAAAACTGTATGAAGGAAATGGTCACGGACTAGCCTGGAACGCTGACCTATACGTTAAATCTGATGTAGCAATTGAGCCGCTATTCTATATAAATGAATGGAGAAATTGGAGGTGAAAATGGATAAAAATGAAATCCTGACAGTTATAAAACAATTCTGATATTCTGGAGATTTCATAGTAATATATTATTGAATAATTATTAAATCAATAAAAGGTAAGAATAGATTTAAGAGGCACTTAAATGCCTCTTAAATACATTTAAGAGGCATTTAATACTGTTATTACTGTTATTATCAGTAGTAGTTCCCAGTGTATTGTGGACAAAAATCCTGGCAAATGAGATTGTAAAATAAGAAAGAAATCCTCAAAATTGTTGGAAGACTAGCAACTTGAGAACCAGAATCGATCTAAATTTAGACATTTGAAACAACTCAAGCTGAAAATGTTTACAGCTGTGGGATACAACACAATGTTAGAATTTACTAAACATCTACAAGTCTGTCTGCTAATTCTGTCTGATGCTACGTTCCAGAGGCCACCAACCAGGTTCTTCCATATGAATTTTGCAATAATTCACAAACGGCTATGGGAACTGGGAAAGCAGATGGACGTAAGCTTCTGCGATGTCACTGCACAAATACAGCTGGTCGGTGGATCTTGAGCAGACTCCATCATCGGTGATGAGGCGGACTGATGCAGCCGGCAGCCTCTGCTAATGCGGTGTTTGTCAGGAAGTGGTTTGTGAAAGCAGGGAAGAGAACCAGGCTGGAGCAGGTGAGGCGAAAGCAAGAATTCAGCTGTACATCAAACCGTGCAGGGAATCACTAGGGCCTAACAGAGCACCAACTAAAATACAGGCAGGAGACAATCAACAAACAGAAAACAGCTGAAATCAAGGTAAGTCGCACAGAAACTAGGGGTAAATACGGCAAAACTGGCTGTAGAGGAGCAGAACACCTCAGTGTTAGCATAGCAACAAATTTAACACCAACCAATCCGACAGTCTCTTGTAAAAGCAGAGATGTTTATTATGTGCTAGTATAATGTTATACCCTATAAATGCAGCCATTTTTAGGGTGAATTGCTTTAAGTTGATACATCTAGCTCCACTATCCTGAGACGTTCCTCACTTTTCTACAAACTAACTGAAATATGTTTTTCTAGATCATCAGACCTTCCAAAAATTAGCAATCATGCAGCAAAAGTCCTTGTCTCTCACACAGGCAACACTTCACTGACGCATCTGTTCTTAAGCACATAGCTAATAAGATGCTCCATCACAGGTTTTTTATTTTTAATTTTATTCAACCAACACCACATGAAATCCTTACTGTGAAGGACATTCTTTAATTGTGGGGTTCTTGCTGTGCACATACTCAAATTCTGAAGTTAAACGCTCAACATGACTGGAAAACCATCAAAACATATTTACCTCTGTGTATCCTGTTTTTATCTGCAACTGCATGAAATGGTAAGATGAAATAAAAAAGAAACAACAACAAAAAACAATGTCATTCACACCAAAGGTTGCCTCTGTAGCGAAACACTCAAATGTTCCTTGAACAAACTTGGTGCCAAAAGTTGATATGAGCGGTCATTATTGAACATGGTCTCTTGCTGCCCTCTAGAGTACCACTTTACCTCCCACCCACACACACACACACGCACACACACACACATTTATTACAACACACAGATTAATGTGCATTCCTCGATACATTTTAGATGTCCAAAATTCTAAAGGAACAAGTTGAAACTGAGTTATATCAGATTAAACTCAAATAGTGTTTTAGGTTAAATACAGTTGCAGCACCTGTGCACCCTGAGGGCCGTTAGCAAGTGTGTGTACTGGCAGGACCGTCCTGGTTGGTAAAAATAGTAAGAGTTGTAGCAGGGCATATGTACAAATCATATTGATAGTGTTGAGGGGCATTTTGATCATTTCTATCTTTAGATTGTGAAAGTTTTGCCTGTTGCACTAAATGAAGGAATTGTTTCCATGCATCAAATGCTTCTTCATAAATATGAAAACATTAATAGGCTGTTTGTGCTGCCAAAAAGGATCTTAAGAACTTGATGAATTAATTTAGTTCAGCAGTCTGCAGACCTTTTGTAACCAGGCCATAAAATGCTAATGTTTTCTAAGTACAAATCAATGAATCCTGAAACAAAAAGACACTCTTTTTGTAGGTAAATATGTACATACATGCATAAAGAAAAAATAAATAATAATAATTTAAAAAAGTATTTTGCACAGCTGATTGAAGGATGTCATGTAATTATTGTGGTTTGTTTTTATTCAGACATTCCTTAAATGTTGGAATTCTGAGTTGGAAAGTCAAAGAATCTGATATTCTCAAAATCCAAAATGGCTGCCTTGACTATAAAATGTAGTGACAGATTAAAAAAAATGTATTACTTACATTTCTGACAGTTTATTTCTTGTTTAGTCATTCACACTCACTTAGCAAACATGTTTTTGGTTTTGAAGATGCCAAATAAAGAGAAATACAGCATTAGCTTGCTTTGCTAGCTGTAGTTAGCCTTCGCTGTGGCTTCTGACACAATGCGAGTTGATTTGTTGTTTTCTGTTTTATAATTCTGTAGCTTTTTTTTTAGTATGGCTTATTCTCCTTACAATGTTTTTATTTTGGAGTAAAATGAAAACATTATAAACTAAAACCGAAACTCACTTTTATCTCTCTGCATTGTATAGCATTTTGGTTAAAACTACTCCACAGAGAATAGTTTGAGAACTCCCAGGATGAAGCAAAGCAGCAAACCAGGAACAAGTGCTGGTTGCGTTCATTAGTTCAACACCAGAATTATTTGTTCAACTTTACGCTAGAAATAATCAGTACCTACATTTCTGTTGAGTACCACTGAAGGTAAGAACACAGTTACCACCAGTGGTGCCACTGTGGAACCACGTATTTAGTTGAATGTTCTGGATTTACTGCTCTGAAACAGGGATCGACGACAGGTTATGGTGAAAATTGTAACTTTTAAAAACAACTCTGTATGTATTTCATACAGTAGACCCTATCCTCTGTTACCTGATGAAGACTTGCTGGAGCTAGTTGTATTTTCACCAAAGTACTCAGAGGGGTTAACGAAAGTCTAGGAGTAGCTCCATATTCCTCCATTGTTCTGGCTGAAAGTCCTTGAAACATGACGGTGCCTGCGGTCTCTCGCTCTGCATAGCTATGCGGTGATGTCTCCATCAGGAAGGCGTGTAGCGAGCTGCTCCTGTGATCCGTTTAGTGTCAGCAGAACTCCTCCACATTCCCTCAGGTAAGCCTCTGTCAGACTTCAGACAGGTAAGGCAATATTAAGAATAACAAAGCACAAGCAGTTTCGCAGGGTTCCTCCTTGAGGCCATCAGGGAGGCACTGTGTTTTCACTCCAGACCTGTCAGATTCTGGAGATGGACTTATGGAGATGGATAAACCCCAGAAGCCGAATGACAAACATCAGAAGTTCATCCTTGCTCCTTTGTTTAGTGGAAATTTCTGCCCGTCTTCCATTATATGAACTGCATGGGAAAAGTATGCTCTTTGTGCATTTAGTAAAATGTGTTTTATTGGGATTTATATGGTGAACCAACAGTAACTACTGTATATTTGTTAAATGGGGCCTTTTATGAGAAATTCACATTTGGCACGTTTTTGTGCTTCCATTTGGGTCTAAAAACAGAACAAGTTCTTAAAAAAAAACATCCAACCATTTTTTAAGTTCATTTGTGTCAATATCTGGAAAATGATCTGTTTTAAAAACCAATCAGCAGGCAGTGCCCCTCACATGGCAACCCCAGCGAAACCCAGCCCGTTACATAGCAACCCAAGCAGAGCTCCAGCACATTTGGCCAGTTGGTTTTATGTACAATGGCAAGTGTTTTGTCGTCGATTTACCATCTAGAAACCACTTGCTGCAATCTTGTTGGATGTGCGGGAGACTCAACTTCTGCTTTTCAAAGGTGTACGGTTATATAATTGCGCATCTGTTTGCAGCCATTTCCACGTGTGAATGTAAACAATTTCTATTGATGATTTTTTTTTTTTTTAATAACTCAAGTTCAGGGAGACTGTAGAGAGCCTATGTGAGCAATCATTTTCTAATCTTAAATTCTCAATTGGATTTATGTCTGGAATTTTACTGGGCCATTCTGGAACATAGATATGCTCATATTTAGCCCATTCTGTTGTTGCTCTGGCTGCATATTTAGCACAACTTTCCTGTTGGAGGGAGAACCTCTAAGTCTCTTTCTTGTCCCCACTGAAGAGAACTATCCACATAGTATGATGCATCCACCACCATGTTTCACCAAAGGGATGATGTTGGTTCTCCAACACAATTTGGATTTGTCATGTGGGCCATGTTTGCTGTACTTCACCACAAATGCCTTTCAGACTCTATTTTTCACATAATTTCAAGAAAACCATGTACATTTCCCCCCCATCATGCACCACTTTTTGTCGGGTATCGTTGAGGCAATGAGAGCAAATATACCAAAACAATAACCTGGTTATTAACTTTGTTTCAGAGAACTGTTGACAGAAACATCGTGAGCGAGTCTGTTTTTCCTTTTCCGACTGGCAGCTGAGTGGTCGTCCAGCGAGGTGTCAGACATCCTCTCGGGTCCTCGGGCCATCTGTTTGCGGCCCTGCTTTAGGAGAGGATATCTGCGGCCGTTTTCTGCCTAATTAGGTCCAGTAAACAGGCACTCATCAAAAAACAGCTGCTGCGCTCCCTATTAAGGCACAAACACACACTTAGATGCACGAGGACACTGAAACAGACGGGTCGCAGAGATAAAGCCGCACAGACTGAACAGTAATGAGCGTCAATGATCAGTTCTGGGGGTGAACTCACCTTCATAACCCGCTGTTTGCCCAATTCCCGAGGGCCTTCCTATGATAAAACAACTTTTTTGTTTTGGAGTTGAATACAATTGCAATGTCATATACCCATGTTTTTGAGCATGTTCTCGTGTTGGCATTGACGGAATATTTACCACATTATCACCTCGGGGGAAAAAAACCCCAACAAACAAACCCAGGGAACACGATGGTGTGAACAATCATATGCCTAATAGGACAATTATGGCCCTGCTCCACAGAAGATCAAAACAAGCCAACAGGAAGAGGGGAAAAAAAAAAGTTGCATTTCCACATCAGCCTCCTTGTTTGCGATTTCACACAACAAAGTAAACTGTAAACTGGAGGGAAATATACTTAACCACACTGGATGCTTGCCAAATTTCCATAGGGCATTAGCAGCCAACTGGTGCAGGCTCATTAAAGAGCACAGAAACCTATAACCATTAAAAGGCCATTAGGCAGCATGTAATTTTGTGGAACTAAATGGCGGAGAGTAATCAAAAGCACATGAAGCCCAGCTGGGCGACTGGGCAAACTGTTTCGATTAGGGAGGAATCCATCATCTACAATGGCAGCTATTTGGGGGGTCAATTTTCCCGTGCGCTCCTTTCTTTCCCTCTGTCACTTTCACTCTTCCTTGGATTCTTTGCATGAAGTTTTCATGTTCTCCGTCATTAGGATCACTGCAGATACGACGGTGCTGGAAGTGTGCAACAGGCGAAATTTCTCTTTATTAAGTGATCGTAAGAAAATACCGTTCCAGTGTATGCAGTTGCCTAATCCTTATGGCAGCTGCAGAAAGTTCTTCCAGGACCAAAGTACAGAAAAAAAAAAAGTATCATAACCTCTACTTACCATTTTCATATTTTCCCTCTCCCCTCGGGGGGATTGTTTGATTGCATCAACCGTATAAACTAAAGTGACATCATGCAGCAAATACAATATAATTTTCACCCCAAGAGACAGAGTTGAAGAAAAAGGCAACAGCCCGGGGCCTTGTAAAAGTTGTGTGAAATTTTCAGCGCGGCTCCCTGTAGTGGAAGACGGCGTTCCAAGAATAAGTTTAGAGCATGTACGATGTCATTAGGCCAGTCAAGTCTCATTGTGCTCAGGCTGCCGAGGCCGTTGTGACAGACCAGACTCTGATTAGTCAAACCTGGAGAGAATTTGGACAGAGTTGCCTGTCATGGGTTAAATCGAGTGCATGCGCCTTTGACATTGGGTAGGATCATTGTGTCTTTGTCAAGACTTGAATGTTTTGAAGTATAATTTTGTTCTGCCAAGACAGAATGCAGCAACTTTTTGTTGTCTTTGTCTTATTTGACTTTCATTGACTTTATGAAGTATGATTTCATGAAGTTTTAGTTTGTATGATTTAAAGCAGCAATGTTTGTACTCGGTACAAAGGTTTCAATTCATTGTGGATTTTCTCTTTCCACATTTGAACACACATAATTAATGTTTATGGACAAAGGCTTGTCCTTTGCCACAGTTGCATGCCATTTGTAGCCATCAACATGTGTCTGATGTATTTCTAGTGGCATATTTAGCCACTATTATTGGCAGAATTGGTAGGTTTCCTGTTACAGACCCAGTTACCAAGGTTAGTCCACTGAGATTAAGGTTCGGATTCTGAGGCAGCCGTTCCAGAAGGTTAATCTTAGCCAGCTTTTGTCCAGGTTTTACATCGTTTTGGGATCAATGTCCCATTGGAGCAATTAGTTGAGACCAGGTTTATCAGACCCTAAACAGACATTCATGGACAACCCAAGAACCCAACCACCAAGGCCCAGGCTCACCACAAGAGGAAACCTTCACTCGGTAGATGAGTTTCCAATGCAAACGTGTGCAAATCTTTGTTCACATTCAGCTCATGTTGGAAAAAAAACGAAATTTCTTTCAATTGTGGTGTTTCCATTAAATAGGAAATTAAATGAAAGTCCAATCATTCACTAATTGCACAAAATGTGAACTAAAAGCAACTGAAGCTCAAAGGTGAAGAATGCATTTATGAGACTTAAGAAGCTCAGAGAATATGCCTTTGCGCCCAGTAATAATGTGTTGTGCGATTTATTTTGCTTTTGCTTTTTTCGAGTTGATTTTTTGTAGGAAACACCACAGACTACAATGGACAGAAACAGATTTCAGTCCTAAGAAATCATCAGGCACTGGGAGCAGATTCCAGGCTAAGCAATGCAGGATTTTTCTTTCAACAGCTCATTTGCTGCTGCAGCTCATCCATCTGTTTAAGCAGGATAAAATCTGTTTAGCATGTTGTCTAATCTCCACAAAAAAAAAAAAAAAGAAGTTACAGAACACCATCCACTCCACTGAGGAGCTGAAATTTGACACACACATTCAAAGCATGAGTGTCTTGGTTTTTTATTTGTTTTTATTGTTTGAAGGATAAATTTGATTCAGAAAACAATAGCAGCAAATCCAGGTTTTTCCCGCCGAGCGATCCGGTTAAACTCGGCGTGCCGCAGTTTGTAGTGACGAATGCTTCCTGCCATCAAACATGCAAATATATTCAAGGTCTTGAAGCGCATTTCCAAGATCCAGGCTCTTAATCTAAAAGAGTGCCCTGAAAAATTTGTTGGAATGCAAAATTTACCCCAGAGTTTTTATTAGCTCATTATGTGGAGGACAGATGTTGCAAATCCGACTCAATTAAGCTGATTTCATTTGTTTTAAAGAGTCACTGACTTCAAGCCAAGACTTCAATATGCAGGGCCAGTTAATCTGGGAAATGAAGGAGAGAAAGGGAGTCTTTCCCTCATAAAGGTGCTCAGCGCCTTTGCAAAGGAAAGCAGAGTCGGCGAACACATTTCATTATTGTGCATTTTATTGCACTCGTTTAGGTTTCAATGTGATGATCGTTTCAAATGTTGCTTAGAAAGTTTTATACTGTAGCTCCAACAAAAGTTTCTTCCTCCAGGCTTCTGTCCTTGTTAAGCACTCCTTGTATTGCCATGAATAAATATCTATCCGTCCGTCCATTACTTTTATCAAATATATATATGGTCATTTTTACACAGTCTGTGCAAATTCATGTTTTTTGGGGGGCGGGGGGAAATCTGCCATATTGCTGTAAATAACAAACAACCAGCATCACAACTGCAGCTTGTTACATAGAAATTACTTGAAATAAACACTACATGCCCAAACTTGGCGATAACTTAGACAATTCGTTTCAATAAAAGTTTTTCCTGCAGAATAGCCGCTGGGGGTCACAGGTGGTAAAATCCGTCCTGATGTTTTCACTAAAGGATTTCTCCGACCAGATATGTTGCCTGAATGTGATTTAAATTGGGCCTGTTAGTTTTACAAACTCCAAACACAAAGCCTGGGATTTTGCACCTGTTTGTTTTAGGCTAAAGTGGAGATGACTACAACTTGGAGCGAAAACCTGCTCACATCTGCTGGACTTGGTGAAGATTTTGGTGGAGATGTTTTTAATGCGAAGCAGATAGTACT